GATCACAGCAGCAATGGCTAGGTGCTGCTGCCGTGGCAAACGGGGTTGTATTTTTTTAAAACCGAAGTGTGCGCATGCACCGTTGGATGCTTGTGCGCATCCCGTGGAGACTTGGGGGGGGGAAACCCTTTTTGTGACGGGACATAGGCGGGCGCCAGATGCTACGAACTACCACCGGAAACGCGATCAGACGCCCGCCCTTGCCCCGCGGTTTCCGGAAACTAGTACCTTGGAGGTACTAGTTTTTTACGCCGCATGTTCGACGGGAAGCCTTGGGTTAGCCACGGGAGCTCTATGCTTCCCAGACGTTGCGGTGTGATCGCGCCCGGAAAATCCGCCTATCTTCTGTCTCTGTAGCGTGGCTAGGGTTAGGGTGACCGCAGCCATAATTAGGGAAAAGGTTGGAAACAAAATGTATGGGGTGACTGTGTTTCTGGTTTTGTTTTCGGTTGATCTGTTTCAAAAGGGATAAAAGTATAGAACATTGGAAAAAGTACAGAACAGGGCAAGCAAATGATTAAGCAGCATTTTTCCTAAGGAGGAAAGGTAAGTTTTTCAAGTCTTTTAGTTTAGAGAAAAAACAACACAGGACCAAATGTAAGAGATTTAGTAAATTGATGCACGTGGCAGTGAGAACTCTTCCATAGTGCTAGCAGTCCTGTGCAGTTTGATAAATTTTTGGGTAGGTCATTGTTGTTGTTAGCCATTCAGTCATGTCTGACTCTTGGCAGTTCTATGGGCCAGCTCTTTCCACGTTTTCTGATCTTGTACTGTTTCTTCGAGTCATTCCATGCTCAGGCTGGTGTCGACTTTTATGTTGTTTGGTGGCCCGATTTCCTTTTGCCACTAACCAATCCAAGCATAATTGCTTTTTCTAGCGAGTTCTTCCATTGACATGGCTGAAATAAGTCAGTCACAGTAGGTGATTAGGGCAAACAAAAAAAAATCTTCACTTAAAGATTAACTTGTGGAATTTACTGCCACAGGGTGTAGTGATGAATAGCCATTAACTTAAAGGAGCATAGGAGAAATTCATAGAGGATTGTCCTTCAGTGACTTTTAGCCATCATGACTTAATGTAATATAATCTTCAAAGGCAGATTCAGGTGGGTAGCTATGTTGGTCTGAAGCAATAGAACAAAGTTTGAGTCCAATGGCACCTTTAAGACCAACAAAGTATAATTCTGGGTATAAGCTTTCATGTGCATGGACACGGAAACTTATACCCAGAATTAAGCTTGTCGGTCTTAATGGTGCCACTGGACTAAAACTTCAGAGGCAGTCATTCTTTGAATGCCATTGCAGAGGATCAATAATGAGGGAAGTCTCAGGCCTTTGTATGCAGCTTATAGAATTGGGGGGGGGGGGCATCCTGTGGGCCATGGTGTGAAACAGGGTGCTGAACGACTTCTTTACATAAGCAGACCGTCTGATCCAGCACTTATCTTTTAATAAAATCATTAAAAAAAAGAATTGGGGGGGGGCATCCAGTGGGCCATGGTGTGAAACATGGTGTGCTGAACGACTTCTTTCAATAAGCAGACCATCTGATCCAGCTGCAAGGCGGTTCCATCTTACTAAGTCATTTTCCGGCGTCAGAAGGTCATGTTTTGCAGCTTGCCTAACTCAAGGCTCGTTGTGCTGTTGGACCTGAGGCAGGAAAGTTGCTTCCCTGTACGCTCATCTTGACGTCTGTCCAGCAAAAGCCATTCTGCAAACTTATTGTGAGAGTTGATCTCACATTAGAGGCAATGGGGAAACCTACGGTCATTGCAAAATTATTGTGAGAGTTGATCCTTCATCACAGTGGCATGAAGAACGGGAGGAGGAAAGAAAATGTATTCAAGACTGGTCTGCCTGAAAGGGTTTTATTGTGCAAGCTAACTGAACTGACTAGTGGTCTGTGAAACTGGCCAAGGGGCTTAAGAGAATTTTCGTTATGGTCAGGTCAGCTGCTCACTTAGCACTTTTGATGTGCATTGTGCTTTACAGTCCCTGTATTTTCCCAGCAACCTTTGGGATAACTACCGTGATGCAGTGCTTAAAATATTCTCTTTGCATCTGGAGAAACTCAGGTTTCAAATTACCATCTGGCCATGAAAATTATGGTCTTGCTTGAGTCACAGGGTCAGTAACTATAGTTCAGAGTCAAACCATGGTTTGAATCTCCAATCGCATAAAAGGTGGCTATTCGCTACCAGATATAGATGGAACACTCTGTCTGGGGCGGTGATGCTCTGTATTCTTGGTGCTTGGGGGGCAACAGTGGTAGGGCTTCTGGAGTTCTGGCCCCACAGGTAGACCTTCTGATGGCACCTGGGGTTTGGCCACTGTGTGACACAAGAGTGTGGGTGGGCAATTGGCCTGATCCAACAGGGCTTCTCTTATGTGACCAGAAACTTAGACCTGCCAATCTGCTTGTCTTTTCCATCCTCTCGTCCCTTAGCATCATACAGTGTTATGCATTCATGGCTCCAGTCCTCTCTTTATGGTAAAGCAGCCTCTGGAGGGTCAAGTGAAGACTTTAGTTATGGCTTGCGAATTGAGACATGCTACACCAGGGGTGGCCAAACTGCAGCTTGGGAGCCGTATGTGGCTCTTTCACACAGTCTAATTTAGTGTTAATAAAAAGCAAATTTGCATGTTTTTCAGTAAAAATCTGTGCGTGATATTTGTTCACGTCGTGCGGCTCTCAAACATCTGACGTTTATTCTGTGTGGCTCTTACGTTAAGCAAGTCTGGCCACCCATGTGCTACACCATAGGCAGAACAAACCAGGGTGGGGGTGGGGTGGATCCGAGGGTAACTGTTTAGGAGCAGGCGGAGCACATCCCCCAGCAGCCGCCTGCTTGCCTCCCATAAATCCCCTCTGAGAGCTGCAAAGAAGGAGGAGGAGGTGGCAGCAATGAATGGATGAATTCACCAGCGGGGGAGATTCTTAACTATTGCCGGAGTCTTACGTAGGTGCCATTCTCCTTTCTTTCTGTGCTATTACTTGTACTGGCAGATTGCAAGCTGCCCTCTTGGTATTGGAAAAGAGCACGAGTCCAGGAGCACCTCAAAAGACTAACGAAATTTGTGGCAGGGGAGGAGCTTTCGTGAGTTACACTGCTTGCTTCTTCAGCTAGATCAAGGCGGGCAGCCATGTTTATCTGTAGTAGGAGAAAAAAACTTTTGTTAGTCTTTAAGGTGCTACTGGCCTCTTGAAGTCGTGGCAGGGGAGGAGCTTTCGTGAGTCACTGCTCACTTCTTCATATACCTACCTGAGTAAGTGAGCCGGTGACTCACGAGAGCTCCTCCCCTGCCACCCATTTTGTTAGTCTTCAAGGTGCTCCTGGACTCTCTTGCTCTTTTCTGATGCTACAGGATGGTGATGGTTGATTGTCAGGACTTCCACCTCAAAACACAACCAGTAGGCAATCAAACTGCCTGTTTGACCAAGTGAGCTTGCGCAAATGCTGAACGGGAGCTTAGTAATAGGATGCTGAAGATGGTAACGTCACCTTTTTGGTTTAAAATGATTTTTGAAAATGTGTGAAGCGCAGTGGTCACTTGAGTAGCGTAGATCCTCCCATAGAATTAAAAACCTTTTCTTTAAAGAGAAATGCTTTAATCCAAGCCCTAGCTTCCATCGATAATTCGCCTAGTTCCACTCTCAGTGCTATGCCTGAGACACATCTAGGAGTAGTCAATAAGCATCGGGAAAAGTCATACTGGATGGAATCCATTCTTTCAGAAGCGGCCTGAATCCAAATTTCCGCACCATACAGGAATTGGTTTAGAACCTTAGCATTAAAGGGGACAGATTGGCCTCCTGATGAGTAGAAGTATTTTACAGTTGTTCTCCCTACTCTCAATACTGTGTTCCCTGCTAGATCCAAGTGAGACGCCTGAAAGTGGATTCCCAGATATTTAAATCGATTGACCTGTTCCATCTTGGTGCCATCTCTGGTGTTTGAGAATCTCTATTTCCGTGTTACGTTTAAGCTGCCCATGAGGTAATAAGCACAACTCTTATTACGGTATGACATCCCAGTACTAGGAGCACAAACATGGAGCTGCCTATACTGAATCAGACCCTCGGTCTGTCAGGATCAGCAGTGTTTGCTCCGACTGGCAGCAACTCTCCAGGGTCTCAGTCCTTCACATCACCGATTGCCTGGTCCTGTTAACTGGAGAGGCCGGGGACTGAAGCAGAGACTCTTCCACTGAGCCATAGCCCCTCCGAGGGTGATTGCCCAGGGACAAGCTTAGTGGTTCCCATGGGTGCCACTCAGCCAGGAGCTGAGCTGGCGGCAACGTTGATCTCTGTGGGCTGACCCCACCGCCTCTTCCCATGCTGTCAGCCAAGACCGAAGGGCCACAGATTGAACCTGCAGCAGTGTGAGTAGAGGGAATAAGGTCATAAGAGAAGCCAATTCTGGATCAGGCCAGTGGCCCAGCCAGCCCAATACTCTGTGTCACACAGTGGCCAAAACCCAGGTGCCATCAGGAGGTCCACCAGTGGGGCCAGGACACTAGAAGCCCTCCCACTGTTGCCCCCCCCCCAGCACCAAGAATACAGAGCATCACTTGCCCAAGAGTTCCTATCTATTACCTTGTGGCTAACAGCCACCGATGGACCTCTGCTCCATATGCTTATTTAATTCCCTCTTGAAGCCGCCCATGCTTGTAGCCGCCGCCACCTCCTGTGGCGGTGAATTCCATGTGTTAATCACTCTTTGGGTGAAGAAGTACTTTTATCCGTTCTAACCCAACTGCTCAGCAATTTCATGGAGTGCCCACGAGTTCTTGTATTGTGAGAAAGGGAGAAAAGCACTTCTTTCTCTGCCTGCTCTATCCCATGCATAATCTTATAAACCTCGATCGTGTCACCCCTCAGCTGTCGTTTCTCAATGGGAGTCCTGTGGCTATTGTCACTGTTATTGATTAGTACAGCTGAGGCCTGGCTTGGCTTACTGCATGCTTCCAGTGGGCTTTCCAGTACAGTGGCCCACCAGGAATATTGCCAGTCGGTTGGAGGGCCAGTTCTGTGCCGCCCGCTCTCCGTGCTACTTACTGGCAGATCAGAAGATTGGAATGTGTCGTGAGCCTTGAGAGAGTCCTCTGCAGAGCAGCTGCTTATTAGATGAACAGGGCACTTTGCCAAACCTTTTGGTGTCAGATGCTGATAGCCAGACAGGACAGTACTGGACAGTAACAGTGTCTTCTTTGCACATCAGTTTGGTTTGGAGGCTAGACGATGGGTTTGTGCGGCTTGGTGGGCAAAGGTGCCAGCCAAGTGTTTGTATCATCATGCTGCGTGTGAGGGATGGCTGTGCCAGTACTTGTTCTAAAAAGAGATCATGTAGCCCTGTGAGAAGCTGTCCTCAGTGTGTCAGCTGTTCTCAGTTCATTCTTTCCCTGGCCTGAAGTCAAAATGGTCTGTCTGTTTTCCCTTTGTAATAAGAGGTGCGCCTGATGCCATTCTCTTAGTTCTTCTCAGGTACTGACTTGAGTGGAAATGAGAATAATGTAGTCTGCTCTCCCCAGGAGGACGGCCTTTGCGAGTTATCAACAATTCAGGAAGACTCCCCTCACATTGTGTACTGATTCCTTTCTTCTGCCCCAGATCAAAATATGCCCACTTCTTTTGCCAGGACCTTGACACCTGCTGCTTTGACAACCTGACTTCAACCTGATCTGCCAGTTTGGTGTAGTGGTTAAGTGTGCGGACTCTAATCTGGGAGAACCGGGTTTGATTCCCCACTCCTCCACTTGCACCTGCTGATGTGACCTTGGGTCAGTCACAAGCTCTGGCACAGCTGTTCCTGAAAGAGCAGTTTGTGTCAGAGTTCTCTCAGCCCCACTCACCTCACAGGGTGTCTGTTGTGGGGAGGGGAAGGGAAAGGAGTTTGTAAACTGCTCTGAGACTCCAAGTGAAGGGCGGGGTATAAATCCAATGTCTTCTTCACATCTGTAGATTATTTGTTGAGCAGGCGTTTCTCTTGCAGGTATTTATACCAGGAATTTAGGACGTTTAATGCACCAGAGCCAAAATCTAGCCGCTTTGGAAGTATGCCTCCGTGAAGCTGGTCTGGTTTTCAAGGAAACATGTGAAGGATTAGGGTGTTAGCCCTCGTGTCATTGACTAGTCATGGTTCACATCATTGTTCTGATATTGTTCTGCTATAAACATCCCATCAGCTTAATTTTTTGGACCACACTCTGACCTGTATCAAGAACCTGCTGACTCTGTTGTCCTGATTTATCTGAAGAGGCCCGTTGCTTTGTGATTTGCCATGAAAAAGATGTTAGTGATTGGGAAGCCATTTTTCACTGCTTCAGTCCCCTCTTATATGAAGAAATATTCCCCATCTTGAACCTGCATGGAATGGGATGACGGGGCATGTATTTCATGCCTTTTAAGTCCCCAAGCTTGGAATAAGTGAGTCTGGGATCTGTCATAGGGTGGCCAGGTCCTACCTGTAGCTGTGGCGGGGGAGTCCTGGCCCTCCCCGGGACTTCTTCGGTGTGTGCGCATCACAATGACATCACCCGGAAGTGGCGTCATTGCGTCGGGCACGTTGGGGACAGGGACCACTATAATTCAAGGGGAAAGCACAGAGTTTGCCCTCAAATGATAGAGTGTCCCCCTGCAACGTGTCCGGTGTGATGACATCACCTCCAGGGAATACAGGGAAGCCTGCATTGGAGTAGCTATCAGGGTCTACATTTCCCAGGTTCCTTCTGGGCCCTGTGATTGGTTAACAGGGGATTTTGGAGGGAACATTTACACCAGCAGGGGAGTCGAAGGTGTGTTGCCTGGGAAGACATGATAAAAGACCTTGCCCGGAGTGGGAGGGGGGTTCTCTCCCAGGGAGCAGGGCTGGTGAGGCTGCTGCAGAAGGAGGGATCCAAAAAGGGGTGAGTCAGCCTAAGAACAGGTACCTAGGAGCAGGCTAGGACACTCTAGTCAGATGTAGTAGGATTTCTTATTTTGCTGATCTACCTACCTTTACTGTGCTCATTTTTCCTAAATGTTTTTGAACGACAGTTGTTATTAAATCTCTTTAATAAAACTAGTTTGTTACTCTGCCTGGGTCCTCAGGTCCCCTTTAGGTCACGTATAAAGGGAAAGCCACTGGAAAAGGAGGGTGTAAAGGGGTAGGGTGGGTGCTCTGGGCCCTCCCGAGGAGACCCATTCCAGAGTGGTGGCAGCCACTGGAGAACCTTTCTAGTTGCTGCTCGCGACAGGATCTCAGACAGCAAACTTGTGACGATGACCTGAAGAGCAGCAGCAGGATTTAGACAGGTGGACTTGTCCTGCTGTCAGTGTGGCTTGACAGTTTAAGTCCTTAGCAGTTGCTTTTTCCAGTCACCCTTTGCGTGAGTAGTGAGACTAGCAGCTATTTAAATTGTGATTTCATTGACTTAAAGAAACTGCATCTATCAGTGAACTGTTAAGAACATAAGAGAAGCCCTGTTGGATCAGGCCAGTGGCCCATCCAGTCCCACACTCTGTTGTCACACAGTGGCCAAAACACAGTGGCCATCAGGAGGTCCCCCAGCGGGGCCAGAACTCCAGAAGCCGCCTCCCCAGTGTTTCCCCCCAAGCACCAAGAATACAGAGCATCACTGCCCCAAACAGAGTGTTCCATCTATAAAGGTAAAGGTTCCCTTGCTTGAAAGCCAGTCGAATCCGACTCTAGGATTGCGGTGCTCATCTCCGTTTCAAAGCCGAAGAGCCAGCGCTGTCCGAAGACGTTTCCGTGGTCAAGTAGCTGGCATGACTAAACACCAAGGTGTACGGAACACTGTTACCTTCCCACTGAAGTGGTTCCTATTTATCTACTTGCAATTTCTTGCTTTCGAACTGCTAGGTTGGCAGGAGCTGGAACTAGAGACGGGAGCTCACTCCGTCATGCGGCACACTCGGGTCTCGAACTGCTGAACTACTGACCTTCCACAGCCTGCAGTTCAGCGTCTTAACCACTTGAGCCACCGCAGCTCCTGTTTCATCTATACCTTGTGGCTAATAGCTACTGATGGACCTTTGCTCCATATGTCTATCCAGCCCGTTCTTGAAGCGGTCTGTGCTTGTAGCCGCCACCAGTACCTGCGGCAGTGGATGCCACATGTTAATTACTGTTTGTTCCTTCCATAGGTTAATAAACAGCAGAACCATTGGCTGTTCCTCCCTTCCTAGCTTAAATAGCATGTAATGTGGTTTTATTTTGCTAAATGGAAACATTTTGGGGGGATAGAATTGTTCTACAACACCTGGCATACATCTCTGGTGCCTTGTACCTCAAGGGCTTCTTATCCAGAGTGTGGCAAGAACACAGAGTCTAATGGGGAGGAGAAAAGGAGGGTGTTTTGGAGCCCAGATAGTGCCCCTTATGATTTGGCAGGTGGGGAGTCAGAGGCTGCGGGGTCTCCCGCCTGTGGTGCTGCTGCTTCAATCCCGCTTGCTCCTTCGTCCCCCTTGCAGAAATGCGAAGGCTTCTTGCAGCCCGAATTCCGCACTTTTGCGGTGGACCCGCAGATCACCTCGCTGGACGTGTTGCAGCACATCCTCATCAGAGCCTTCGATCTCAACGGGTGAGTCCTGGGGGGAACGGAATTGGCCCTCCTGGCCTTCACACACCCCATGCCATTGTTTTTGCTAAAAGAAAGCCAGTCAGTGAGAGACACTTGCAAATGGGCCCCTCTGATGGCAACTGGTCAGAACCTCTAGGTGGAACAGTCACCTGGAGGCTTCTCCCCTGAGGTCGAGTGAGGCTTAGCCTTAGAGCGTGTGCACCTGTGTTGGAATTCTGGGAGGGAAGCCAGGTTTCGTCCAGTGCAAGTGGGGTGAGAACCGGAAACTCTTCTTTCTCTTTGTGGCCTTGACGTTAAATCTTGTCTTGCCAATTTAATATCTCCCCACTGAGGGGGAAGAGCTGATATACCTCTGTGACAATAAGAAAGGTCTTTTGGAAACAAGGAGTGGTAAGCTGGATCACCATCCCCTTTTCACCTTTGTATTATACTGGACCTGAGCTGGATGGCCCAGGATAGTCCAATCTCGTCAGATCTCAGAGGCTTAGCAGAGTCGGCCCCGGTTAGTGTTTGGAAGGGAGGCCACTGAAGGAAGTCCAGGGTCACTACTCAAAAGGCAGGCAATGGCAAACCGACCTCTGAACGTCTGTGGCCTTGAAAACTTTATGGGGCACCATAAGTCGGTTGCGACTTAACGGCTCTTTCCACTCCCACAAACTGGACCAGTTATTATTTTTCATAATTTTATCAGCAGCCCTTCTGACCAGTGGTGATCCGAAGTGGTTTTTTCCATTTTTAAAAGGTCGTTAAAAAATAAAATTTGATCCTTCGTTCTTATTCGTTTGTGATGACACACATAATGGGCACACTGAAGGAAAACCCTACATTATAACACAATAAGGTGCACGTTCAGGCTAAGACACTACGCAGTTCAGCCTTCGTGCCGCAGCCCTTGATTTCGCTCCATGCGTAAACAGCTGTAATTGTAGGAACATAAGAACATAAGAGACTCCAATGTTGGATCAGGCCAAAGGCCCATCCAGTCCAACACTCTGTGTCACACAGTGGCCAGAAATACCAGGTGCCATCAGGAGGTCCAGCAGTGGGGCCAGGACATTAGAAGCCCTCCCACTGTTGACCCCCCCCCCCAAGCACCAAGATGACAGAGCATCACTTGCCCCAGAGTCCCTATCTATACCTTGTGGCTAATAGCCACTGATGGACCTCTGCTCCATATGCTTATCTAATTCCCTTTTGAAGCCGTCCATGCTTGTAGCTGCCGCCACTTCCTGTGGCAGTGAATTCCATGTGTTAATCACTCTTTGGGTGACTGAATCAGACACTTGGTCCATCACAGTCAGTATTGTCCACTCAGGCCGGCAGCTGCTCTCTGAGATCTCTGTCAGGGGTCCTTCACGTCACTGTCTACTTGATCCCTTTAACTGGAGAGAACAGGGATTGAACCTGGGACCTTCTGCATGCCGAGCAGATGCTCTGCCACTGAGCCTCCAATACATGCCCTATTTAGTCCACTTTAGAGTGTGTGGCAGGAGACCGCCATCCTGCAGGCTACTTCGGACACCACGAATCTTGTTTTTCCTTAGGAAACGGCATACGTGCTTCCCGTCCATCGTGTGATGAAGGGGCACGTATTTGTTCCACCATCTAGTCACATGGGATCATTGTCTGTGTGTGCAGTTTCCTAAAAGGAACATCTGTGCAGGGCTTGTTTAAGCGGCTATGAACATGGGCCTCTTCTCTCCCCACCCCAGGAAGAAGAACTTTGGCATCAGCTATCTGGGCCGAGATAAGCAGGGACAAGAAATGTACCTCTCCCTGATGTCAGACTGGGATCTGAGTGTGGCCTTTGCCAATGCCTCCAAGCCTTACCTGCAGCTCAAGATAGACATCAAGGCTTCTGAGGATAGTGAGTAGTCTGTATTCCTCCACCCTGAAGAAGAGAGCCAGGAACCCTTGTTTGCTTTACTCACCGCCCGAGTCATTCAGCTTTGACTTCGGTGCTGTATGGATTGAGTGGAGATGGAGTGAAAAATCATAGGACTGAGTAGGAGAGAGTGGCTGTATTCTCTGCAGGGCTATTTTTGGGCAGGAACGCACAGGAACGGAGTTCCGGCTGGCTCCCGAGTTGGCCACGCCCAGCAGGAACTCATTAGCATAATAGGCCACACCCAACAGCAGAAGCTCATTAGGATTGGCTACATTAGGGGTGTGTGGCCTAACATGCAAAGGAGTTCCTGCTCCAAAAAAAGCCCTGGGTTTTGACCACAAACAAGGTCAACAGAATAACAAGCAAAAGGTGGGTGTGACTGGATGACCACACTTCTGGTAACATGGGGGTGCGGCCTAATGTGCTAATGAGCTGTGCTGTCAAGGGTGTGGCCTAATAGGCTAATGAGTTCCTGCTGTTGGGTGTGGCCTATTATGCTAATGAGTTCCTGCTGGGATTTTTCTACAAAAAGAGCCCTGACTGTGTGTACTTATCCCAGCTCCTGTTAGAGCGTAAGGTTTGGTTTGCTCTAGAAAAGTCTGCAGTATAGACCAGGAGTGGCCAAACTTGCTCAACGTAAGAGGCACATAAAATAAATGTCAGATGTTTGAGAGCCGCAAGACATGAACAAATATTACACACATGTTTTTATTTTTAAAATATGCAAATTTGCATGTTATTGACATGAAATGAGACTGCCAAAAATAAAAACAAAAGGGGTAAAAACAGGTAGTTATAAAGATATTTATTTGTCCAATGATATTTATTTGCTAATGATATTTTTTTGTCTAAGAGAGAGAGAGAAAAGATAGAGAGGTGGAAAGAATGAAAGAGGTGGAAAGAGAGAGAGAGAGAAAAACAAAGAAGGCAAATAGATGGGATGGAGGGAGAAAAGGTATGCCTTCCCTTCGCTTCCATAGCTGCTCTGCCGGGAGCCGCACAATGTGTGTGAAAGAGCCATATGTGGTTGCTGAGCCACAGTTTGGCCACCCCTGGTATAGACACTTTAGGGGAATGCATCAAAAGTAATTTACACTCTCAAAAACACTTTTAATTGTGCTCAGCATTTAGTGGATCTGTGAATGCAGCTCAGAAGCACAGACATTTGTATCCGGTGCTGAATTTAGGTTCCCGAAGAAACTGTGCATGCCTAGCTTTGTCTTTTTCAAAACAAAAGTCCAGTTTGAGGGTCCCCAACCTTTTTGAACCTGCGAGCACCTTTGGAATTCTGACACAGTGTGGTGGGTGCAGCAATAAAGTGGCTGCCACAAAATGGCTATTGTAGGAGGCGGAACCAGCCACCAAACGGTTGCCACGGCTTAAGTTCAGTCACGCAATGTAGATCCTTGTGCTGTGGCAGCAGATGCCCACAAAGCAACATTTTAACAAATCTGCACAGCCAATCAGAAACCTTGCTGGGCAAAAGCCCTACCTGGCCCAACCCTCTTCCTAAAAATACTTGGTAAGCACCAGAAAAGGTGTCAGCAGGTGCCATGGGGACCCCTGGTCTAGTTCTTCAGGCTACCAAAATAGGTTTGAAAATGTTAGCGTATTTCCAGTGGCTGGTTGTTAAGACCTCAGTTCTTCTCCCCAGTAGAAGTAGAATAATGCAAAATAACCGAATACAGGGTGTGGCGTCCTCGCTTATTGGGGAGATTGTTTGTCCTTTCGTCACTCTGTGTACACAAACTTAGTAGATATCTGCTGCCACCAGGAATGACCCAGTGTCTGGGCCCTTTAGAGAACTATGTGGCCCTGAGGAAGGACTGTTCTGATTGCTGGCATAAGTTTAAACAAATAATGATTTATTTATAAAAGAACAAAATAGGTTTCTGAGTATTTTTTGAACTGTTGTTGAAGAAAGAAAATATAACTGACAAAGCTTGGCATCGCACACAGTCTCTCATACACCAAAACTCAACTCTGACAGGCTTATCTCTCTCTCTTGCTCATATAGCCACACAGGCTGAACTCTCTTGCTCATATAGCCACACAGGCTGAACTTCCTCTCTCATAGCCACACAGACTAAACTCCAACTGCTTCCTCTGTCATACAGACTCGCACAAAAACTCCGCACTCGTCTCTTCATGAACAGTGAATCACCTCAGAGACATCTCTCCTCCCTCACTCTCAGTCATCAACCGATCACATCAGACTTGTCTCCTTACATTACTGCAGTCAAACTAAACATTTAAAGAAACACACACACCAAAACAAGAAATCATTACACATGGAAATAAGCCTGAGTTTTTATGGGTTTTTTGATACACACATCCCTGATGTCTGTATTTCCTTTCTGGAGTGCTCAGAAGCTGTTGTGCAGTAGACTTTACAATTCTGGTCTCATGTATTCATTCTCACACAAGTAATTCAGCCCAAGGATGGCCAATTGTTAGCCCACGGCTGTATCCGGCACTCGGCAGCCCTACCAAAGTGGTAAAAAGCTGATGCCAAAAGGAAAGGATGCTTTCATGTTGTAGGAAAGAAACTTTAAAATGTTGAGGCTCATTCTTTGGATTTTGTATGTAATAACTTAGAGCTATATGGGGAGTTGTTACTGCTAGATGGCAATACCTTTAAACACACAAAGCTGCCTTATGCTGAATCAGACTCCTGGTCCATCAAAGTCAGTATTGTCTGCTCAGACTGGCAGTGGCTCCCCAGGGCCGCAGGCATCTTTCCCCATCACTTGGTCCTTTTAACTGGAGATGCCATGGCTTGAACCTGGGTCCTTCTGCATGCCAAGCAGATGCTCTACCACTGAGCCACGGCCCCTCCCCAGGATCCTGTCTACATGTGAGGAGGTTGGTTTGTCTGGCAAAGTAAAATTTTCACTTTTGGACTATTGCCAGAGAGTAGCGGTTTCTGAGAGTACAGAAGTCCCCAATCCTGGTCTAGCTTGCAAAGGAGCTCAAGGTTTCTGAGTGAATTTCTGATGCTTGGTAGACATGCGGGGGGGGGGGGCAGTGAGGGAATGGCAGACCGTGGTCGTAGACTGCAGGCTGGATGTGTCAGCCCTCACTGCCCTCTTCTCTTAGGCCCCCTCCTGGAGGACTGGGACATCATCAGCCCCAAAGATGTCATCAGCACCGACCTGCTCCTGGTCGAAAAGCGGTCTCTAGCAGCGGCTGCTCTGCCCTTCACACAGTCGATCCTCTCCCAGGTAAGTCACAAGAAGATGAACAGCCTAGGCTTTTGTGATTCTGACGCTCGATAAACATCCAAGAACGGCTAATCTTCTGGGACGGAAAGGGATCGAAGGGAGTTCTGGCTGACATCTGGTTTCAGCCTGTGTTGGCTACCAATCCACTCCCGAGCCCAATTTAAGGTGCCAGTTTGGCCTTTAAAACCCTACCTGGCTTGGGACCAGGGTGTCTGAAGGACCCTCTTCTCCTGTAGGTTCCTGCTCAGGAATTAAGGTCACAGGGAGAGGCCCTCCTGAGCGTCCCACCAATCAAAGAAGCTCACTTGCTGGGTGCATGGGAGAGGGCCTCTTCAGCGGCAGCTCCGTGATTATGGAACGGCCTCTCCAGGGAGGTGCACCTGACCCCCTCACTTTCAATCTATTGATTAAAGCAGTCCTAAATTGTGACTTTAAAACTTTTGCTGTCAGCCCTCACTGCCCTCTTCTCTTAGGCCCCCTCCTGGAGGACTGGGACATCATCAGCCCCAAAGATGTCATCAGCACCGACCTGCTCCTGGTCGAAAAGCGGTCTCTAGCAGCGGCTGCTCTGCCCTTCACACAGTCGATCCTCTCCCAGGTAAGTCATAAGAAGATGAACAGCCTAGGCTTTTGTGATTCTGACGCTCGATAAACATCCAAGAACGGCTAATCTTCTGGGACGGAAAGGGATCGAAGGGAGTTCTGGCTGACATCTGGTTTCAGCCTGTGTTGGTTACCAATCCGCTCCCGAGCCCAATTTAAGGTGCTGGTTTGGTCTTTAAAACCCTACCCGGCTTGGGACCAGGGTGTCTGAAGGACCCTCTTCTCCTGTAGGTTCCTGCTCAGGAATTAAGGTCACAGGGAAAGGCCCTCCTCAGTGTCCCACCAATCAAAGAAGCTCACGCTGGGTGCACGGGAGAGGGCCTCTTCAGCGGCAGCCCCGTGATTATGGAACGGCCTCTCCAGGGAGGTCCACCTGACCCCCTCACTTTCGATCTGTTGATTAAAGCAGTCCTAAATTGTGACTTTAAATTTTTTGCTTTTATGTATTTTTATGTGCTTGATTTTATGTATTTATATTATAAGCAATGCTCCCTCTAAACTGTGAAGTCCTGAGAGCAAAAATTCTACTTTGTAAGCTACCAGCATTAAAGTTGTGAGGAGGTGATTTGGCTCCTGCATCAATTTGTTTGCTCTGGAGCCCTCCTTCCTGAGCTAAGACAAAAATGTGTGTGCCAGAGGCTAAAAAACTGTGAGCCTAGCTCACACTGACTCAGCTTAGAGGGAACACTGATCGTAAGATGCTTTGAGCTCCATAAAGAAGGAAGCTGATAAATATTTTAAATAAATAAATAAAATTTAAAATGTATAAAGGGTCCAATTTCTTTCATAATTGTCCTCTGGGTTCAGAGGTCTGCTTCTTTTAGCCATTGCTCTATCAGCGATGCTAAAGGCCAGTAACCGTGTTGATAAAATGTGGAGTTGTGCATAGGGCGGATTTTGTCTCCACAGCCGTCCTGCTCAGGATCATGGAGAGTTCGTGCCTACCCAACCTCTAGAATTTATGAGCTCTCCCCTGTGTACACTGAAGTCCTGGTAGTTCACTGCCCCTCATTTTCCTTGTGTCTCCGTCCAGGTTGGCAGGACACTGTCCAAGGTCCAGCAGGCACTCAGCTGGTCTTATGGGGAGGACGTCAAACCTTTCAAGCCTCCCCTGAGCGATTCAGAGTTCCACACGTATCTGAACCACGAAGGGCAGCTGACGAAGCCTGCCGAACTGCGCTCATTTTCCTTGTGTCTCCGTCCAGGTTGGCAGGACACTGTCCAAGGTCCAGCAGGCACTCAGCTGGTCTTATGGGGAGGACGTCAAACCTTTCAAGCCTCCCCTGAGCGATTCAGAGTTCCACACGTATCTGAACCACGAAGGGCAGCTGACGAAGCCTGCCGAACTGCGTCTGCGAATCTTCCACGGCGGAGTCGAACCCTCGCTGCGTAAGGTGAGGATTGAAGGTGGGGTGGTGGTTTTATGTCTTGAAATGTGGGCGTGGGGTCTAGCGGGTAGGAACAAAGGTGCCTTTCCTTCCTGCCCACTCTGAGGCTATATTCTCTTGGTCTTCTTGACCATCGGTGATGCGGTACCGGGTAGGGTGCCCTCTGCTCTGGGGGGCGGGGCCGTTCAGCCTGCCATCGCCTGTGTGGAAAGCCTTTCTTGGTGCTGAGTCTATCCCTGTCTCCTTTAGGTGGTTTGGAGGTACTTGCTCAACGTCTATCCCGATGGGTTGACAGGGCAGGAGCGAATCGATTACATGAAGCGAAAGACGCGAGAGTACGAGCAGCTGAAGGGGGAGTGGAAAATGCGGGCCAGCCCCGAGGACCTGGACTTCATCCGCAGCAACGTGCTGAAGGACGTGCTGCGGACCGACCGCACCCACCCTTACTACGCCGGCTCCGACGACAACCCCCACCTGAGAGCCCTCCACGAGCTGCTGACCACCTACGCCGTGACGCACCCGCAGATCTCCTACTGCCAGGGCATGAGCGACATCGCCTCCCCCATCCTGGCCGTCATGGACAACGAGGCGCACGCTTTCATCTGCTTCTGCGGCATCATGAAACGCCTGGAGGGCAACTTCCAGGTGGACGGTGAAGTCATGTCGGTCAAGTTCTCCCACCTGAAGCTGCTCCTCCGCCACTCGGACCCAGAGTTCTACTCCTACCTCCTCTCCCGAGGCGCCGACGACCTCTTCTTCTGCTATCGCTGGCTGCTGTTGGAGCTCAAGCGCGAGTTTGCCTTCGAGGACGCCTTGCGCATGCTGGAGGTCACCTGGAGCTCCTTTCCCCCTGACCCTCCCGAGAAGGAAGTGGAGCTGGTGGGCCCGCCGGCCAGGCCCGGGGACAGCAGCCAGCCCGTCCGGAGGAGACACATGTTGCGCCCGGCTTGCAGCTTCGAGGCAGCCGGGGATCAGCCTTGCCAGGGGGCCGTTTCCGAAGAGAAGCCGTTAGTCAAGCAGTCCAGCTTCAGAGAGTTCAAGTATTACAGCGCCCACAACGAGGACAGTTCGGAGGACAACCCCTCCCTTAAATCGCAGCACTCTGCAGAAGAGGACGAGGACTGCGGCAGCGAGCAGGACCACTTGATCCAGAACCTCAACGTGGCCAAGTCCTTCTCCGCTCCGTCCCTCTGGGCTCCCACCTCACCCTCTCGGAACTCGGCCTCTTCCTCGACCAACAGCAACGAGGACAGCCTGTCCGAAGAGGAGAAGGGTGACTCGCCGGTCAACACCCCTCTGTCTCCTTCCTGCGGGCCCACCGCCTCCTCCCCCACCGCCGCTGTCAGCCTCCCCCCTCCGCAAGAGTTTGGCAGAGGCAACCCTTTTGTGCTCTTCCTGTGCCTGGCCATCCTCCTGGAGCACCGGGACTACATCATCAAGAACGACATGGACTATAACGAGCTGGCCATGCACTTTGACCGCCTGGTCCGCCGGCACAACCTGAACAAGGTCCTGCACCGGGCCAAAGCGCTCTTTGCCAACTATCTGCAATCCGAAGTCTGGGACTCCGAGGAGGGCGACGAGGCCGCGGCCGAATCTCCTGCTGCGTCATGACCCCTGCTCTCCTGCCGGGCGGGGACCGGTTCCCCGCTACCCTTAGGTGCAAGAATTGACGTGGAAAGGTGATCGATGAGTAATCCGGCTTGGCCTCAGTTCTTTGAGGGTGGTCTGAAGCGGCTCAGTCGGATTGTTCCACTCAATACACCTCCTGTGTCCGATGTACTCTGGTTTTTAACTCTCACTTTTGTGGAGACATCTTGTGTAGAGGCTCCCGTCTTTTCTTCTGTGCCTCCTCCCCTTTCAAGTACAAGCGATCTTCTCGGGAAGATCCGTTCCGGAGCAGCCAGGTTCCACATCCCCTTCCCGATGTTTCCTGTACCTTCCCCTCTCGCTCCGTTTGGAGTTCTCTTTAGAACACCAGTCAAAGAATAACCCAGATTGACTTCCATTCCTTCTGGAACCTGGTGCTTTCCGTACAGGGCCGGTTTGCCCAAAGCATTTTTCCCTCCGACGCTGCCTCTTTTGTTGTGGTTTTGTTTTCTCCATAGCGTGTCAGTTTGTGCTTGACAGAATCCCCATATTTATGCCCTTTTCAAAAAAAAAAGGCCTTTTATGCGAAGTTTTCCCCGTTATGACTTCAGTTTTTGTTTTTGTTTTAAAAAGCACTTTATTTCTTCAAGAATTTCTTTCCTCCTCCTATGTTACTGCCTTTCTATTTTATCACTTTTTAGAAATCACTTTTTAGAAAGAAAACAGAACCTGTTAACCTTTGGGGAGGGGCTATGCAGGGTATTTCAGAGGAGGTTGGCAGCCCCTCCCCCTTCCAAGTGTCCTAAATTGGCCAGTTAGTCCGTTCTCTGTTTTGTTTTTAACCCGGACCGTCTCGGAAGCCTTTTCTAAAACAAACTTCTCAAGGAAGCAAGCGGTCAATTTGAGGGGTGGGTGGGGTGAGCGGGTGGAGCTTTGGTGCTTTTATAAAGCAGCTTTTGGGGCTTGCATCTTTTCTTCTAGCTTATCTCCCCGGCAAACGTGTCCTTCGAGACTTCCGTGCCGCAGAGGAATCCTTGTCCGACCAGGCCAGGCCTTACTTTCTCCAATCCCTATTTAAACACAAGCTTGTATGAGGGCTTCTCTAATACGTTCTTAGCTCGCGGGGCAGGGTCTTGCTGGAATGCCTTGCAACTAATCAGATTTCGGGTTAGGCGGCAAAGATGGCCACCTCCTTTCCAAGTTACATGTTCACCTGATCTCAGATAGTACCAAGTGTGAGGGGAGGTGACCGGCTGCTGTATTTAAAAAAAATAATAATAAGTGTCTTGATGCCTTGAATCTTAGGGACTAAGCCGGGAACTTTGAAGCTG